ACGTGCACCTAAATATTTAAGTACACAGGGCTCACGCATTTCCACCTTCATGGAAAATGCAGCTGCCGCAGCCAGCATTCGATCCCACAACCTTCGGGTTAGCAGTCGAGGGGCTCATTGCGGTGGGCCACCAGGCCGCTAGAAGCAGAATGCCAACGTACGAGGCAGGGGCGCAGCCAGAAATTTTTTCAGGGGAGGAGGAGGAGGCATCTTTTAGACAGACAGACAGACAGACAGACAGGCAGACAGACAGACAGACAGACAGACAGACAGACAGACAGACAGACAGACAGGCAGGCAGGCAGGCAGGCAGGCAGGCAGGCAGGCAGGCAGGCAGGCAGGCAGGCAGGCAGGCAACTTTATTGTCCTCCTTAGAGGCCAGGCAGTGGGCCAATTAAGTAGGTCCCCACCCAGCCGTCGGCTACTCCCATGTCGAAACAGAGAGGCCATGCCTCTCAGCACGTACGCGGGCCCTGTGGACAGCCTGAAGCTGGACGTCTTGCCTGGGGTATGTGATTGCCGTCGTCCAGCCCACTTCTCGGTTAAAGTCTTTTAACGCAGGACTTTAACCTTGTGACTCAGAGAACAATATTCACCACAATCTGGGCAAAGTGGATTAACTTCCGGATGAAGCATGCGTCAGAAATCTCCTGGAGGTGTAAGATTCCGTGTGAAGCATGCGAAGCGTGCTTGCGTGTGTTCTATGGAGCTTATAATGAGGAAAGGGTTGTTGCTCCTCTCTGTAATGAGATGTTATATCGTGAAAGGTAACGAGAGGATCACTGTGGATGAGCTCTCCTGAATTCATGCGAGAGACCATCCCGTCGCGGCATGTGAAACCTCGCGCACAGTCGTGGACTGTCTCGATTGGGTTCAGGTGACCCGGTAGTACGTCTGTTCCCATGTGAACTGGAAACCCGACTATGTGATGAAGAATGTCGGAGGGGGGTCTGCCGTGGAGGAAATGCTAAGTTTTTGCTCTATATGCCCTCGAGAAAAACTTTTTTCGGGGGATGGTGGGACGCGCACGGGCTCGTGTACCACTCTCTGGCTACGTCACTGGTAAGGGGACCTGGTAGCGTGTTTGACAACCGTATGCTGGTGAACGTGCGAGAGAGAGGGGAGACGCCCGTGTCTTCCGCTACAGCGATCATTGGCTACCACCACTGCAAACGTCATTTCCACGCAATGCCTGACGCCTTCGTCTGTCCTCTCCGCCGTTACCACCGTCTCGCGACAGGGCTCGCTGGATTCCGTGCCGACCGGTTGTGCCCTCGCGATCTCCGACGTCAGCGTAGCTCTGGCCGACTGGGCTCTCCCTACGTCATCGTCTGACGCCGATCTCCGACGACAGCGTAGCTCTGACCTACTGTACTTGCCCTACGCCATCTCCTGACGCCGACAAGAGCTTTCGCAAGTGGTGCCCCATCCTCGGACTTCTGTGACCGTGTTTCCATCTTTCCTATCTCTCCTATCCCCTCGATATGTCCTGGCTCGCTGGCTTAGCGCATCTCTCTTTCTCTCTCTCTACACCTTTATTCCTATCCTTTTAATCCATTCTCACCCCCATCCCTTGTGAGCTACCCAGATGAAGACAGTTACGGGGCTCACCTTCCTCTTTTTTTCTTTCTTATAAACATAAACACTCCCCCCCCGCTGTCTAGTACGCTCTATTGCCGTCGCTGCAGCCACGCTCGCGGGGTGAGGAGTGGTGATCACGGTGCAGCGTTGTGTCAATATGCCATGATTCGACTGCTTTGGGGTTGTTTCCGAACTAGTGAAGCCGTAAGTAAACAGTGTCGGGGCTGACTGCGTGGACAGGCGGCATCTGCACACTCGTGGAATTACGACGAGTAGTAGACGGACAAGATTTACGCGTTGGAGCGAGACGTACGGCCGTGGCCGCGGAGTTCCATGGCGTGGGGATCTCGTTTTTCGCCAAGCGTGTTTAGCTCATGCCTAAGTTTTAATACCCTATTGTTGTAGTTTTAGCCACCATTCTAGTGGCCGCATCTAACGGCCGTTCGCTGCCGTTCATGTTTTGAGCAGTTTGCAGTGCTAGCTTGTACTTACGAGTTTTAAACAGATCGGTACCGACTTGTCTCAATCCAACATTTTGCAATGTACATACCAACTAGCCCAGTTCAGTTCAGTTCGCTAATGCAGGGGAACTTTCTTCATTCTTTTTCTGAAAACACTGTTTACACTTTAGCACAGCTTACGTGTTCAAGTCAATATATGTCAAGTTTATTAAAACAGTTATAGAAGAGCTATATTGCAAAAATATCACATTATCAGGTACCAGAGTTCAGAACAACTGCTGGGAGCCTATTGTGAATATTCATGTTGCCTGTCTGAAGCCCTCCACATGAATGCAGCAATAGTGACTCTCAGCGAAGGCTTGATGTGGAAGCGTAGAAATAATAAAGTGAGTTGGTTGCAATGAAAAATTACAAAAAAGTGCTGAGACAGGAGGAAGCCGATGACATTATTCACAGGATTTTCACTTTCTCTGTCCATTAGTACTTGCTTACTCACAATAAAACGCGTGATCCTCTCCGAAGCACGCAACCACTGTAAAGTTAGAAATTACTCATGCTTACTTTATTTGTGTGCGTTGCATTTTCTACTACTTCCTGCGATGCCCTCAGGCCATGGAAGTAATACAAATAGAACATCTGGCATAAACAAACATACCCTTGCAGGAATTTATTGGAAACTAAAGTCACCCTGAACCGTCATTCAGTTTTCTTTGGCACCATTTGCCTGTGATGTATCTTTTTTTATATTCGTTACTGTAAGCTGCTCAGTACTATCACAGTGATACAGTTGGGAGCCACGCTCATGTTGTCAAATGTGGTTTTTGTTTTGCACTGCAACTACGGCCATATCTCCCTGATTTTGCTTCAAATATTACGCATGGTCGCCTGCAAGTTATACATTTGCAGTATTTTGGAGAATGACATGCTGCACAAAGTCCGCAAAACTGCGGCAGGCATCACGAACCGACACAGCAATGTCAAGTAACAGACAGCTAGTTTATTTTTAAACAGGACATACTCAGTGATTGAACAACTGTTTCGCGTTTTTGGCCCGCTCTCGCTGCACGTAAAAAAAAAATCCGACTGGGGCGTATTATGATCACTTAATTTGATAGTTTAAACTTGCACTTACAAACGATATGCATCGATCATGTTGGCATGACCATCGGCAGCCTCGAAGAGAGAGAGAGAGAGATAAATAGAGAGGAAAGGCAGGGAGGTTAACCAAGCTTAGCTCGGTTGGCTACAAATCGCTCAAAACATGAACGGTGACGTACGGCCGTACCTGCAACAGCGTAATAAGCCGGCCGGATTAAAACTTGAGATGCGTTTAACAGACGTGACGAACATGCTGCGGGATCTATGGGCAAATGCGAGCCCTGATGCAAGCAACGCTGCGGCAAAAAAATGCGTCTTGTGTGCAGTCTGTCTTAGTGATTTGCCCGAGACTGTTTACTTACGGTTTCAGTAGTTCAGAAACAATCCAAAAGCCATCTGATTCATAAAACACGACACACCACACAGCTGCTCTAAGTACACCCCTGACGCAGTTTGCCCGAGACTGTTCACATAAGGTTTCAGTAGTTCGGAAACAACCCAAAATCCATCTGATTCACAAAACACATCACACACAGGTGCTCTCAGTACCGGCGCTACCAGCAAGTCCGCGGTAAAGGCCCTTAATATAGAGAAAGCAGCGACACTCTCCTCCATATCCTTGCCAAAGTGTCCAACCCTCCTCTCCCAAGTGTCCAAACCTAATCTATATCCTCTCCCAAAAAAGCCACCGTGCGGGCGCCCGCCCTATAACCCAGCTCGTGCCACTTTCCTATCAAGAATGCTACGTCACGCTGATAACATGCGTCGTCGTGGCCCGAGAGGCGGGAGAGGAGTATGCGCGGCACGGTTAAAAGAATTGCGGTACTTTCCTAAAAATGTCCAGGGACTTTAGTCCGCAGCGGCCTTGGCTGCTGGCACGGCAACCGCAAAAAACAGCAAAAAATGTAACTGAACGCGGAAATGACGTTCGTGTTAGTCGCTACCAATGAGCGCCGTAGCAGACGACATAGGCGTCTCCCCCCTATCTTACGCGTTCTCCAGCATACGTTAGTCAAACAAGCAACCCGGTAAATTGCGTTTCTTGTACATTTAGCTGCGTTCAGCTGCATGCTTCCTTTGTCTTTCATGAAATGCTAAAGCCAACAATATGTATACTGTTGCCTCGCCCGTTTCTTTTCGCCTGCAAGCTCACGCGTGGATAATAACTCGTGCCCACTTTATTTAATACCACTTGTTTTCCCTAGGGATTCGGAATAAGATAGGCTTGATGGGCGAAGTAAGATTACGCCGGACTATTTCGTGCAGATAGTGCATGAGTGAGGCACAAAATGCACCAAGCTAACAATACCAGTAAAAATCGTCATCTTGTCTCGTCAGCAGTTCTGATAAACCATATCCCCCACGATGGTCTAGTGGTTGAGACAGTCAGCGGCACACCTGCACATGACGAGATCGCATTCCGGCCGTGGCGGCCGCATTTTCAATAGAGAGTAAAAATACTTGAGTCGCATGTGCTTAGATTTGGGTACACGTTGAAGATACCCAGGGGGTCGATATTTCCGGAGCCCTCAACAACGGCGTCGCTCGTAATAATATATGGTGGTTTTGGGACGTTAAACCCCACATATCAATCAACAAGTCTAAAACACGCCTTTTGTGAGTTCGGTTGCCCGTGGATTATACCGACGTGGAACGCAACTATTTTGTCAGCGCAGAATTTCCTTTTTCTGATTAGGGCCCCATGTGCAGGCCAAGTACAGTCGCCACTCACGAAGAGGAATCCACGTGCATACGTAATGACTGGCACACACACACACACACAAAAACGAAGGGTCCGAATGAAAGTGGCAGACGGGAAAAATCAAGAATTTCCACGGCTGTTGACGCATTCCGTGGTGAGGCGGAACGAACGCCGATAGCAGTCGGGGGGCCTTATTTACGTGCCGACCTTGAGAGTGCAGCACCGAGCCTATTTATGCCGGGTTTTCACCGGCCAAGCACCGCTGTAGGACACTGTCGCAGCAGAGCCGAGAGCGGTAGTGGCGTGACGCTCCTAAATCGCGGTGTCCCGGCGGTCAGCTGAAGCCCACGGTCCCGCTCTTGCACGCTCCGCACCGTAAGTGAACGGTGCGCTTCGATCATTGCTGAATCGTTCGGTGGTGTGAAGGCAGGGGGACGACATTCATACCGATAATGCAGCAAATTTAATCTGTTTGTCTCATCTGTGCTAATCCAAACAGGGGAGAAATGAAAGTGCTTGGAAGGCATATCCGCTTTTTTTTCTGTTGCCCATGTCCTAGCGGCCGTGTTCACGAAGCTTTCATTCGTAAAAGTTTCAAATACTGTTCGAGAATGTACGACCACCTTGGCTGCAACAGCAGGTACACTCTAAGAGTCAACTAAATTTACTGCTACAAACAGTTCTGAGAGCTGTCTGAACAAGAGATCGGCTTTGCAACACTTTTCTGCTGTAAGAGCATGTAGTAAATTCAACAACTGACAAACTGAGTGAAAAAAAAGGAATAAAACGCCGAACGTGCGCGGACTCTTCTTCCTGTCTTGTCGGTGGCATTTTTTTTTTCGCGTAGTTTGTCGTTAGTATTCATGGATTACAAGCTTACCCCTGCAGAGCTCACCAAGTAACATGTGTGTCATTAGACTTGGCCCGTATTCGCGAAACGTTCTTTCGCCAAGGACTGTTTTTTCAGCTCCCCGCGATTAACGATCGGGCGGGGAGCTCAATCTGATGTGAGCAACGGAGTGTATGTGCTTTCATTGCACACTTACAAGGGCGTAGAAAGGGGGTGACACACCGAGCCCGTGCAACCTCCACACCCCGGAACTATTTTTCCGCCATGGCATAGAGAGCGAAAAATGACCATTTCAAGGTGGTGCGCGTCCCGAAATCGAAAGGAGACCCCCCCCCCCCCCCCCCTCAAAAAAAAAAGTTGTTGGCTATGTGCTTGCACACTTAAATACAAGTTTATTTTACTATTATTTCGCCTCCCTAGAAGTGCGGCTTCCACATTGTGGATAGAACCCGCTACCACAGAGGTGCAACGCCACACGGTCCACCGACGTTCGTCAGAGACCAGCCAACATCGCGCATCTACTCGTGGCGCACGTAATGTCGCACATGACATTACGAGCCGGACTTTCGTATTGATGTCACGTCTGATCGCCCGTTGAGTGCGGTAAAAGCGGCCTTGCCTCCGGGCCGGATTTATGTGAGGTATGTAAAACACAGATGGACCTCCTCGCAAAGTGCGACTTGTGCCGTTGCACTTTACTGTTCCAGGCGCTTTATCTGGGGCGTGCAGGGTGTGTACGTGCACCGCGTCGGTTTAGTGTGCCACACGACGGCAGCCTCGAGGTTACACGCGGACGAGCGCATGCGGCTTCGCCGAATTCCTTGATGCACGGTTGTTTATCTCCAGATGGGAGTATACCACCGGGGCAGCGTCCGAGCTGTTTCCGCCGCAGGCGCTGCCAGTTGCTGTCCGCATCCCCCCCACCTCTCCTTCTGCTATGCTTACCGATGCTGAGTCCCACGACAGTATGTTAAAATACGGTCACTGACCGCTCTTTGCTTGCTCCTGGCCATCAATCGCTGTATGCTCCCTCCCTTCATTTTTTTTTTCTTTTTTTAAGAGCGTGAGTAAGATATGCTATGAAGTAAAGCTAGAACACCCGTAGTAGGGACCTTGCCCCACAAAAAAAAAAGGGGGGGGGGCATATATTGTTTTGTTTTACACTTCATGACGGTACTGCGGTAAAGGACGCCAATTGTTAATTCACGAAGTTTGAGCATTTCGGCCTTATCGCATTTCGTACTTGCATTTAGAGGCTCCTTGCGGACGTGGATACGAATGCTATTCATTTATTTTTATTTATATACTTGATAGTAATGTTGAAAAAACACGAAATTCCTGGCGTATAAACAGATAGCAACATTACGCTCTAGTTAAGTCGTGCTGATCTGACTTGAATTCTCTGGTATACGAAAGTGATTGTGAAGAAAAAAAAAGAACTATCACTGTTGTCGGCACGTTTGGTGCCCCACGATACGGTCCGGTGCATTCTTTTGAGCTCACTTGCGCAAGCTATCCGAACGACTGCGTGCCCTCTCTGAACGACTGCGCACTGGGTGTGGGTGTGCATTATTATCATTGCTTTATGGTTGTAGTCGTCGTCGTCGTTGTTGTTGTTGCTGTTGTTGTCGTCACCGGAAATGTTATATACTAAGCTGTTCAGCGTAAAAAAATAAAAAGACGCCACGTTCACAGAAAAGGCGAGGGCATGCGTGCAGCTTAATAATATAGTACGAACTAGCCCGATCCCACACTTTACATCACGTTACATATGTCACTTATAAATTACGATGCGTTCACGGGGCTGAGAAAAGTAAAAAACCTTTCCAAGAACGTCGCAGAGTCACGGAAACTTAACTCATACAAGTGTTTCTGTTGTCTTAAGTTCAATCAGTTCACTTATGGGGATGTACGGCGTGGGACTGACGACGGACCTCAAGCACGCTATTTCTGAATAAAGTCTCTCCACCTCCAGCTTGATGCAGGATTCATGCATGCGACATACGTCTATACGTTTATTATATGCGAAGCAGCTATTTGACTAGCCAGTGTTACGCTGTTCCTCCTTGCGTCCATACGCGAACGCGCAGCAACGTGCTTCCCTCACCACAGGTGTTAGAGCAGTGCCAAGTAGGTCACGCCGAAGCTGCGCGTTGACGTCACGCTCCCCTCACGGTGCGCGCTGACGTCACTTTCTCTCTCGCCTGCTGCGCGCTTGCCGCTGCGCAGCACCCGCAGCTGTCGCCTCGTTCGTTCACCCGCAACACTTACCGCTACCACCGCTCGCTCCGCTACCGCGACCGCCACTCGTTACACCTTACGCAACTTCGACATCGAGTGTCTGCAGGAACCTCTGAGCGTGCACTTCACTGATCACAGGACCGTGGTAGTCAAGGCAAAACGCGTGCCAGCTCCAGTCCAGCGCCCGTGTCGACTCTGAGGAAATGAAAAGACCTACGTCAGCCATCGCTTCAAACGAATCTTCCCGTGCTCACCGCAGCACCCGCGTCAGTGCCGTTCAACTCGTGACACCACCCGCGTGGAACGCTACTGCTTATCAGAGTTCCCTTTGGGAAGATGGTGTGAATTTTTGTATAATTTCCTGCGTCATTTAGGACTGCGAAATTTCCTTTTTACGGAAGCAAAAAACCGATGATTCACACAGCCATATACCAATGGTATTTGTTTTCTGCTTCTCATTTTTTTCGTAGTTATCACTATTGTACTAGCACTCATTTTACATGCACGCAGAAATGGTCTTTCGAAAGTCCAGACCGGCATGTCAGCACGCACAGAAGTCGTCGCATGATTTTAGGATGTGCTGATCCTTTGTATACGCTTATATTACCGTTTTCAAGTTTTCAACATTCTGCGCTGTTCATAATTTTCATGCATGTTTGAAGCCTTTAGATCTGATCTGATTCAATAATTTTTGCTATTATTTCATTCCTTTTACGTGCTACCTGTATCCCTACTTAAGCGCAGATATCTCACTTATTTATTCATTTATTCATTTATCTACCGTTCACAGGGTGCGATGCCTTCATCGAAGAAGCCGAGTTATGTCGACATAGACGGGATCCGGCTGCCGGGGGGCTTCGATCCCCAACGCGTACGAGAAGCGCTGAGCTTCAGACCGAAACCTGGGGACATCTTTCTGGTGACGTACCCCAAGTGCGGAACTCATTGGATCCAGCAGATCTCGCAGCTCATACTGAACCGTGGGACGTCGGCAAGCAACTATCTCGAGTTCCAGATGAAGACACCCTTTCTGGAGTTCACTGGCACCAGCGACCTGGACCACATGCTGCCACCTCGACTCTTCAAGACGCACTTTACCTTCGAGCGGCAGCCGTACCACAAAGATGCCAAGTACGTGTACATGGTGCGCAACCCGAGAGATTGCTGCGTTTCCTTCTACCATCACTCGCGGTGCATTCCCGGCTACCAGTTCGCGGACGGTTCGTTCGACGACTTCTTCGAAGTCTTCATTAGAGGCGATACAGACTTCGGAGACTACTTCGACAACCTGCTGTCGTGGTACGAGCATAAGGACGACCCCAACGTGCTCTTCCTCACCTACGAGGACCTCAAGAAGGATACCAAGAGCGGCGTTCTCAGACTGGCCCACTTCTTCGGAAAGAAGTACGCGGAGCCGCTCGAAAAGGATCCGGACCTGTTGCAGCAGGTATTGGACAAGAGCAGCGTGCAGTACATGAAAGACCACATTGAAGTGACCAGCGGGGACTTGCAGAAGCTGTTGAACACAGGAAACGGCACCACTATGGAGCCGGTGCGGAAAATGTTTGTGCCCCAAGATGGCCGGGACCCGACGATACAGTTCATACGAAAGGGTCAGGTTGGTGACTGGAGGGGTCACTTCACACCCGAACAGGAGGCCAAGATGCGAGCTAGGATACAGGAGAAAACCGCTGGCACAGACGTGATGAGCCTATGGAAGGACTAGTGTGTGGTCAGGCCCTACGCTCAGGTGTAAGACGCAAGTATCAGCTTTGTATGGATGAGTATCACTTCTTTTCGTTTGACAATAAAGTACTACCCTCATAACTGCTGGAAACTTATGAAAGGAGATCCCACAGAAGCATGCCGTAACCGACGTACTTATATCGAATAGACAAAAATTTGTACGAGTATGCGTGGCATTTCAGAGTTGGTGCTTCCGAAGTATGGCATGTGTGCCTCTTGGGTGGCACATCAGTATATCATATGTGAAAACCAGGAAAAAATACAACAAGCAAATCACCACAGTTAAATAGAACGAAAAAAGCGTTTAGGTTTATGCTTCGGAGGAGTATACGTTTCGTTTACACACACACCTGCAATTAGGAAGGCCTAGGCCGAATTAAATATGTTCAGCGTCTTGTTCTCAGCACTATTCAGTCGTTCAGAGAGAGAGAAAAAAAGCACTTAATTTGCCTCCGCCAAAGAGTGGCAGCTCCCCTTTCACCATCTACCCCCCCCCCCCCCGCCCCCCTGTACGTCGGCCAGAATCGATTGGCTCCTGGCGGTCACCTGAACTTGTATTCTAAGCCATGGGTCGGTATGTAGCTATCACGCACCTTTATTAGTTTAAGGATAGTAGGGAGTGTTCGAATATGGGCACCAAAGCTCTTTGCATGTGCTCGTTTTGGTTCAAGCATGGAGCAGAGAGTTTTCGAATGAGCCAAGAGTCTTCGGCGCTTGGTACACTCCACCTATTCTAGGTTCCTCTATAGTCTTGGGCAAGAGCCGCCACTTCCGCGGGTGTCGTCAGGTTTGCTTGACACAAATGTTTTGGGGAAGGCTTTCGGACTCTCGCTCAATTCTATTAATAGCGTCCCCAACGCAAAACCCTAATGCTGTTTGGGTCTCGCGCATGCGCAATGACATTGACGCTATTTCTTTGGGGCTCCTATTCCAAAAGCCCCTAATGAACGCAGGAGATGTCGATGTCGGCTGGCAAAGGTTATTCGGCCCTTATTTCTGGCAGTCTGCGATGATCGAAACATCAATGGGGAAAAATTAAAGTGACACGGACGGCAGAAATAAGCCCTCAACTAAACGCTTTAGTTTTCAGAAGACTGCTGCCTGAAGTTTTCAATCGCTTGAAGCCTCTCATGTTCCCTGAACTTCTGTCAAGTAGGGTGGAAGCGGAGCCTGCAGTGAGCACTTCGGTGACGATAGATTTGTTCTGCGCCATTGACCCAAGCACTGTGAGCGAATACACTGTTTCTATAGTGTGTTTGAAAGATGGTCAACCTACTTCGGGCTTCGAGAAGAACACAAGATTCTGGAATGTCAGCCACGTCCGTAGCCGCACTAGAACACCTTCGACGAGGCGTTCTTCAATAAAATCGCCTCTGTAAACCCGTATAACAATTCGTGTCTCATTAAGGTTAGTCTCTTTCCTAATTTTCTTTCGTGTATATTTTTTGTGCTGCTTTCTTCCGTTCGAACCTTTACCAAGCCTAAAGAGTGCATTTCCGTATGAGTGGCGGTTATCGAAGACTCTGCGTCCGCGATAACGAAAACGACGAGAATGACAAAAGAGACGGGCGCGAGCTCTTTGTGTTGCTCAGTGATCAATCTATACGCAGTTGCTAATACAGCTGTATGTAGTTCTTCCCGTGTATGTTTTTCCCCGTAACAATACATAGCCGGGGCCGTCATTTCACCATGGAGGATGTGACCCGCAAGTCGCGGGATCGAATCCCGGCTGCGGCGGCTGCATTTCCGATGGAGGCGGAAATGTTGTAGGCCCGTGTGCTCAGATTTGGGTGCACGTTAAAGAACCCCTGGTGGTCGAAATTTCCGGAGCCCTTCACTACGGCATCTCTCATAATCATATGGGGGTTTTTGGACGTTAAACCCCACATATCAATCTATCTATCAACCATGGAGGATGTTATGCGATGTCTTGGATGACCTTGGGGACGGAGCCAGAATACTCCGAGAAACTACCCCGGCCGCTGACATTAAGCTTCTGTCCCTGTATACATTGCCGCCCAAAGCATATGCTCCTTGACGGTGGTGAATAGCAATGGTCTGCGCGTTATCTATCTATCTATCTATCTATCTATCTATCTATCTATCTATCTATCTATCTATCTATCTATCTATCTATCTATCTATCTATCTATCTATCTATCTATCTATCTATCTATCTATCTATCTATCTATCTATCTATCTATCTATCTATCTATCTATCTATCTATCTATCTATCTATCTATCTATCTATCTATCTATCTATCTATCTATCTATCTATCTATCTATCTATCTATCTATCTATCTATCTATCTATCTATCTATCTATCTATCTATCTATCATAGTTGTGACCTCAACGCGGCTCTTTCCCAACAACGAGGACCTTAAGAACGACACTATGCGCGTATCTATCGTGGCTTCTTTTTTTTTTTAATGTGAAGCATTTCTTAGCGAACTTCGGTGAAGAGGAAGAGGAAGAGGAAGAAAGTTTAAGCGGAAAGACAGGGAGGTTAGCCAGTTCTTAGACCGGCTGGCTACCCTGTGCTGGGGAAAGGGGTGAGGGGAATGAAAGATGTTAAAAATAAATGTTGTGAAGAGAGAGAGAGAGAAATTACAACAAAAAAAATGCGACAGAGGAAAGGCAACATCAAAGAGTATAAGACACTAAAGTCTGTCTCTGAGGCCAGTTGTCCGCAAATAGCGCAGCAAAGCTTTCAAAGCCTTCTGGGCTGAGGATGGGCTCGGCCAATGACCCAGAATCCTTTGTTCCGACAAAGGCCGATTGTCTAGTCTATCCAGAGCTGCAGTGAGTTCTTGTCTTTGCACGTTGAAATAGGTGCACTCACACAGAAGGTGCGCGATGGTTTCTTCGCATGTGCAGTAAGTGCATGTAGGAGAGCTGGCCATCCCGATGAGATAAGAGTATGCGTTCGTGAAGGCCACTCCAAGCCACAGGCGGCGTAGAAGAGTCTCCTCAGCTCGAGATATCCTTGGGGGAAGACGAAGCTGCAGATCGGGATCCAAGTTATGCAGGCGCGCGTTTGTGAAGTCTGTCGAGTTCCACTGTACCAGTGTGAGGTCACGTGCAAGCGAACGAAGTCTTGTAGCTGCGTCGGTTCTTGAGAACGGGATGGCTGTGTATTGGGTACCATCATGTGCAGATCTAGCGGCCTCATCTGCGTGGTCATTTCCATATATACCGCAATGACCTGGTATCCACTTATACACTATGCTGTGCTGTTTTTCGGTTGCTTGGGGATGAAGAAGCCTTATTTCAGCTACTAACTGTTCATTAGGTCCACGGCGAAAGAGTGACATAAAACATTGAAGAGATGCCTTCGAGTCCGAGAAGATTGACCAAATTCCCGAAGGTTCTTTCACTATAAACTCCAGAGCTGCACGTATGGCTGCAAGTTGTGCAGCTGTCAACGACGTCAAATGCGATGTCATGAATTTAATTGTGATGTGCCTCGCGGGAATAACGCGCGAGTGTTAACACTCGCGCGAGTGAATTTTAACGCGCGAGTGTTAAAAAACTAACCGACGTGGGTAGCGCCAATCCGTCGAGTGTTAAGTGGAATCGAACCCAAGCATTCTATAGTTGCCAATGAAACATTTTACCGCAGAGCTACGCCAGGTCTTGGAACTGCTACTCAAATAGATGCTAATCTTCGTGAAACGGTAATAGTGGTTTCAGTGCTGCCTACTCAATCTTATGAACATTACATATGTGCTATTTTGATACAGTCGTCACGTCGGGTTAACGTCATATGTGGTTAGTTGTCATGCGCTGAAGTTGATTTATGTAGCAGTGTTCAGGGCAATCATCTTCGCGAGCATCAGCGCTTCGTATCAGCTTCCGGTGTTGCTAATACGCATGTTCCAGTTGGCATCGTTGCGGAAGTGCAAACAACTGGTTATATAAACATCTGCAACTCTTCAAAATATGTCTGTGTGTGCGAATTGTGTACATAAATTTGGCATCATTTCATGACGTGTCGCTCACTAAAAAATTGCAACACGGTCACCTTTCTTCCGCATGCTTCACATAACGTGGATTCCCGGGTACGTGGGTTCTGCCAAATTTTTTGCTTGATGTTACTTTTTAAATAATTGTCAGTATAAATCCAAACCAGCTAGCATCTTTAACAAAGTGTGAGGCTTTATAGTTTTTCTTTAAACAGGTTTTGCATTTAGATTCTCTATAGGGGAAAACAAGTACACGTACCACCAGAAATTGTTGTCTACAGAGTATAACCCTAGAAGCCAGCAAAGCAATCCTCGTTGGGATATCGCGAATTCTGGAATCATCAGAAAAACACGCTGCCCACTCCGAAGCGCTATACGGGGCCTCTCGTCGTACATCGAAAATATCGACGTATCTAGGAGCGATCCGTGTGTGAGGCATCACTAATGGCCGGCCTCAATGGTAAATGACAGAAGTATCGGCAAGCGATCGCGTTCGTATAAGAGTCTACATTTTCTGACAGGCCAATCGTCATTTATCCTGAGTGGCATGATAATCTGAATGTTCAGGCACTACATATGATGATACAACATCGGTCGACTGTTTGTACGTGTCATGTCAGACGATATATCGAGGCAGAAACAGGTTACCCAAAGCGAGTATGCTGTATACGTCTGACATGTTCGACAAGCGTGATGGAACGTATGCCCGCAATCGACTGCGTACGGGCATATTGATGGAGTAAATGCATTGATCACTCTAAGGTACAGCGCCCCGATTGGCTCATCAAAACACTACATACGTGAAGAAGGGACATAATGGGTGGTCATGCGCACTAAATCTCGCATCGCCGCTGTCAAGTTTATTAACGATATTTGCAGCCTGCAGAGATACCATCAACAAATCAGCGTTGCATTCACTGCGCCATGTACTGCATGTGATGTCACCGGGGAATGGGAACGTATACTGCCGTAAGTTATTGATAAAGGTTGCGGCATATGGATCCCCGTATTCAGCTCGTATGACATTGATCCATATCAACAAGCGCTTTTAGAAAATGGTATCAAATATTACTGGTACTGGCAGCGGTCAGCCAGTGAGTGGCAAACGAAT